ATTCAGAATTGCCTGATGTTTCTTCATGATTAGATTCAGATTGTGCTTTTTTGCCAGGAGACCACAGCAGTGACATAGTGTCCTTCTCAGTGCAGTGTATCAAGAGGAACATGATGGTCATTCCCGGCGATGTTCACTTTTATCACATGATTAAGGTAGTATCTGTCAGTTTTCTCAACTATAAAATATGTAAACTATGATTTTTTCCTTTGTAATTAATATGTGTATTGTGAGGAAATGCTTTGAGATTATGCAGACACTGTTCCCCATCATACATTTTTGCAGTAATTCTGGCAGCCATTGATGATTCCTGCCAGTAATAATCATAGTGGTGGTTGTTATGCAAATGGTGAAGTTCTTTCAATTATTGCTCTTCTTACTCTTAAGATCTGGGGCAGGGATGGCAAGTTCCAACCACTTGGCAGTGGCCTTCTGGAACTCCATGTGAGAACGATTGCGAGGTCAAGTTCTCTTAACAGGGGAAGGATTGTGAGGTCAAGTTTTCACAACCTGGTGAGGGGAGGTGGGGAGGGAGCAGACAGGTGCCATACTGGCAGTTCTAGGAGGGTCTCTTTCCCTTTGGAGAGATAGATCTTGCCTGTTGGGCCTTCAGGCCAACACACACTGGCCTGGCTAGAAGGAATACAGCCTGTGTACCTACCCTCTTTCCTACTTTGGGCCTACTTTGTTCCTCTGAATGGCTGAAGCTCCAAGGCACCATGGTCTGCACAAATGGTAACTGTGCAGTTCCACAAGGAAGGGGTGCTTGTGCCAGGCTCTGGATGAACAGGGCTGGGGCTACATTCACTTCCTCCCCAGGAAGGCCCTATCTTTCTATACCAATATGTAGTTTCTTTGATGAGATCAGCATGGAAGCCAGTTGCTTGGTGTGGTCCAGGAAGTCTTCTGAGAGGAGGCTGCTGCTGGACCTTGAAGGTTGGGAAGAAGATCACTGATGGGATTTGGGAGCATACAGAACAGCATTATTGCTTCATCCTGGCCTGCCGTTTCTTTCACGGACGGCCTAGATTCTCCTTTGACCTGGATCTCCCATTATATTTCCTATTGCTGCTATAATAAGTTTCTCCAGCTTAGTGCCTTAGAACAATACAAATTTATTATTTTACAGTTCTGGAGGTGAGAAGTCCAAAATCATCTTCACTGGGTTAAGTCTCAATGTCGGCAGGGCTGGCTGAGGCTCTCGGGTGGATTCTCTTTCCTTGCCTTTTTCCAGCTTCTAGAAGCCGCCTTCAACACCTACCATCAGATCTAAATTCCAGATAGCAAGAAGATGGGAAAAAACTCTTTCCTTCCTTTAAAGGCAAAGCTCAAGACACACATCAAAACACCAAAACTCAAGGCACACATCCAAACTCATGGCACACATCAAGTCTGCTCACATTTTGATAGTCACATGGCTACACTAAGCTGCAAGGAACCCTGGGAAGTATATTCTTTGGGTTGGCCACCTGTCTAGCTCAAGTATTACTACAGAGGAATAAGGGGAGACCGATATTGATCTCCTCTTGTTCAAGAGAGACAAGAGGGCACAATGCTGACTTTTGTCTGATATGATGGTTTAAGAAGGAACAGACCAATGTGAGGTGTGAGTTATGTGCTGTGACTTGGACTTATTCAACAGCAAGGCCCAAGGTTTACTCTGATGGGACAGATGGGCAGAAAGAGTGACCACATCCCCTGGCATTAACCTGCTGCAGCCAGTGTAATAAAGTCCAGCACAGAGATTGACCCAGGGGAAAGAGCGTGTGCTTTAGAGCCAGATTAAATTGGGCTTGTATTTGGGTTCTCCACTTGACGGATGTGTGGACCTCTTTTGGGTCTCAGTTTCTGAATAAATAAAGTGAAAATCACAAAACTGACCTTGGGCTGTTATGCAGATTCAATGAAACAATGTAAACAATCTAGCCTGGAACCTGGCACACAGTAGGTGCTCAAACAATGCAGCTAGCTGTAGTGTCCACCCACACATCTACATGATTGGCAGCACTATCTCAAATCTTACAGACAAACACATGCAATTCCTCCTCATATTGCAAGTTCCCTTCAGAGAAGAAAGCCTTTGAGAAATGGTAGAATGATTTGGTGCTATCTGTTATCCTGCTATAATTTTTGTGTGTGGAAATTCGTTAAGAATTCATTTCGATGAATCCCAAATGCATGCACCATGAAAAACAATTAGCTTTAATAGTGTAAAAGAAGGAGATCAATAAATAGATTCATTTCTAAACTGTAATAATTTATTTGCTTCCTGACTTTTGGGAAATACTGCATCTTCCGGTGACACGTCAACCATTAAATAGCTGAACAGCGATGATTTGTGGAAGGATGTTGATAATCAGTAGGCAGACCCTGCTGTCGAGTCGGCAACCCCAGCCACTAGCCAGCAACAGTGGACAGGAAGGGAAGCAGGCCTTTTCAGGAGACAGTGCAACTCGACAAAGTGCTTATGAGGACTTCCTCATCCTTAAGCACTGCCCGAATGCAACACAACAGATGGGAAAAATAACGAGACCAGTGAACCAACGATGGAGAGAAGAAACGCGGCATTCCTCAGACAGTGAGCAGGGAGAGGGAAGAGAGGTTTGAAGATGACTGCGAGGTTCTAAGATTCACCCCACGAGCTGCCTGTCTATGCTGATGCAGGAAGGCCCGAGAAAGAATGTCTGGGTGAAGAAGCAGCAGGTGACTCCCGACTGAGGAGGAAAGGAAAAGCCACACGAACTGAGGGAGCCGTAGTCAAGGAGAGGAGGAAGCCGAGGACGGCGAGGCCGCTCAGTCATCGCTTACCAGGGACAGAGGGATGGCTGCCATTATCCCTTCTCACCACGACAAACGGAAGACGATGATATCTAAGAAACTGCCGCAGCCACGCAGAGCGGCAGGAGGCAAGGGTTTGCCTGGTGCAAAGGCGAAGTAAGGTTGAAGGCCAAACCGCAGCCCTACTCTTTTGCAGCCTCCTATGGGGCATCATGGTGGGCAATGACAGATGGAGAAATACGCAGCTTCTCTGCCGGGCAGGACGGCAGCCTCAGGCCAGGGCTCGGGAGTGTGGACAGGCAGACCCCACGGCCCAGGATCCAGGAGGGCCCTCTGCCAGGCTGTGGCTGAGAGTGGCCTGGCTTGGTGCATGGCTGCGGATGCTGCCCCACCCGCCAGCCGCAGGGCTGGGGGCCGGCACAGATTACATTTTAAGGTGATAGTCATCTTTGACCTTTGGGACCTCCAGGGCCACTGGTCATCCATCTTAGAGCCGCTGACCAGCAACCTCTGGGCTATTTTTATGGCCGGCAAACATTGCCCATTGATTGAATTGATTGAAATCTGCGTCTGGTTCTCGGGGAAAGGACACTGGCCCCACAGCCGCAATATGCAGCTTCGTTTTCTGCTGTTCTCTGACTCTCTCCTTTCCTTTCCTCTTCTCTTCCCACCCGCAGCATGAAATGAGTTTGGAGACAGGGCACACACCGAGACACACACGGCCTGAATACACGCACACTGAACGCACACGCCCCGCATTCTTTTCCAGCAGATTTCTTGCTGTGGCGCTCATTTTTGTCAGAATTTCATGGGTTCCTCAAAGGAATTCCGCTGAGAAAAGCAGAGATATGTTCAATCCAAGGGGAGTCCACACACACACACACACACACACACCCCTGTATAAAAATACACCAGCAAGAGCCTGAACTATAAAACCAAACAAACCACAACCATATATGGAATTTTAAAATCTGGTGATTTTGCAATGTGTCAACTGCTAAGCTGAATAGCAGTTTCTATAATTCCCTTTCTGGCTTCATGCAGGTGAAATTTGTGCGGGATGGGTGAGGCAGAAGGGCAGCTGAGCCATTCGGATCCTGGAGAGTCCCTGCAGGTGTTCCTGTAGCTCATGCCTGGCCAAAGCACTTCAGGAAGCCCCTCACCCCCAATTCCACCCGCATCATTTCTCCTCCCCAACCTATTTGCAAGTCCCCCATCTCCCCTACCTCCCCTGCCTCTCCCCACCTCACTTGAGTTAGATTTGTATGGGTATATGGTCATAATGATGAATATTATTATTATTATTTGGAGACAGGGTCTTCCTCAGTCGCCCAGGCTGCGGTGCTGTGGTATGATCTCTGCTCACTGCAACCTCCACCTCCTGGGCTCAGGTGATCTTCCTGCCTCAGCCTCCGGAGTAGCTGGGACTATAGGGTCGCGCCACCACACCTGGGTAATTTTTTGTATTGTTTTGTAGAGATGCGGGGGCGGGTCTCTTCATGCTGGCCAGGCTGGTCTCGAACTCCTGGGCTCAAGCGATCTAGCTGCCTCAGCCTCCCAAAATGCTGGGATTACAGGCTTGAGTCACTGCCCAGCTAGTATGGGTATATTATTAATACATGTTTCCCACCTCCTCTCAGTTCCCCAAGCATCCCCACCTTCCCCAGTCCCCCATCTCCCAGAGGACTCCTTCTTTCAGCTGCTCCAAACTGTGGCCAGGTGTGAGCCAGTGCAGTTCCAGGGCAGGAGCGTGCCTCCTCCTGCGGGCAGGCCTCCTGGGTAGCCAGATTGGAGCCTGGAGAGAGAGAGGCCAAGGCAGGTTCCACCTTGTGCACTGGGGGTTCCCATTGTCCCTGCTCTCCCCTGTCACTCCTATCTTTCAATTGCAACACTGACCCTGGGACTTCAAGCATATGACCCCACTCAGAAGAAACAAGACTGTGTGCCCAGCTCCCACAGCAGTCAAATCCCTACAGTGGGCTCCTAGTTCTACATCACTCCTAGTGATTCTGCTTTCGCAAACCCCAGCAAACAATGTGTCATAAAGGGGAGACATGGAAACAGGGAAGCTATTGCCAGGATTGCATTTTACATTTCAGACATGTCCTCGCCAATCTCGCTGGCATCTGGGCTGGGGTACAAAGGTCCCAGCTTGGCCAGGCTGATGTCTGCAAACCCCAGCCCTGACTGGCAGATGGGCCATGCTTCTGACCATCTCTCCTGCCTGCTAGACCACTTTAATGTACCCTTTCCATCTCAAGCACAGGAACGATTCCCTTCTGGAATGTTCCTCCTTCTGAGGCTTTGAGAAGGCTCGTCTGGGGAGTGGATGGTGAGTCCTGGGAGCGGCACCTCTTTCCTCACTTAGAGCCTAGGTGGGGTGAGGAGGGTGAGAAAAGGAAGGGGCCAGAAGAGAGTGAGGAGGGGAGCCCCAGGCTTTGGGGAGGAGCCCAGCAAGTGTGCAACGCCCTGCAAGGCATTTCCTCTCTCTCCCTCCCTCCTTTCTATCCCCTGACTTTATGGCTGCTACACTGGGGAGCTGAGTTGGCCTCCTCTGCATCTACATTCCCGTGGGAACCAGCTGCACTACTTCCAGAAATGCCCTGCCCCAGTGGGTCCTTGGTGCTGGACCCACCTTCCAGTAGGTTCAAGAAATGTGTGCCCATAAATAAATCCTCCAAAGTGATACCAATCAGCAGGCACCATCAGAGTGTCCCTGGAAGTGACTTTTCCGTAGGAATCCATTATTTCTGAATTGGATGGAGGGAGTCTCTGATCTCCCCCTTCCCCTGCCTTCTGTCCTGGCTCATCCCTCCAAGGAAAGGGAGGGCCCCTCCTGGCCCCAGCCTGCCAGGGAAGGGAGTGCTGTGAACTTAGCTGGTGTGGCCTGGAAAGCCCTTTAATGGACCCAGTTTGGTGGGGTGGGTGGGAGGCTCCATGTACCCCCAGAGCAGGGGCCAGGGTGGTGGCAGCAGGGTGAGCCACTGTGGCTGTCACACAAGATAACTGGAGACCTGCCCCAGTCTGGACAGACTTCCAGTTTAAGCCTGATTTAATGACAAGCTGAGCACAGAGTCCTGAACCTCAACGCCTGCAAAAATCCAAAACCAACCAAACAAAAAACAACCAAAAAAGAATTTCAAGGGAATTTCCTTAGTGGGAAATGAGGCACTGGGCAGGGCCTGGGGGACAGCAGCAAGTAAGGAGCCCTAAGATCTGTGGGCATTTCGGGTAAGGTGCTTCTCTAAGCTGTTTCAGACCCAGGGCTCCTCCTGTTTGCACCGAGCCTAGTCTGCTGGCCTCAAGGTGACCAGGAGGTTCAAGGGCAAAGCTGTGATTACTTAGAGCAGGACAGATGCTGATTTAGGTTCCAGTTCTGCCTGGTTCTAGTTATGGGACCTTTGGCATTCATTACTTTTTACCCCTCATTTTATCTTCTGTAAAGTGAAGATTGTATTTATCTCACACTGCTTCTATGAAACAGCCAGTCTACTGTGTTAAATAATATAAATCCCCGCCCTGCCTCTATTCTCAGCCACAAGCACTGTTTGGCATCTGGGGTGGATCATTCTTTGCTGTGCATTTTGTGGGAGGCTTAGCTGCATCCCCAACCTCTACCCACTAGATGCCAGTAGTACCCCCAGTTGTAACAACCAAAAATGTCTCCAGACATTGCCAAGTGTCCCTTGGAGAAGTGCCCGTGTTGAGAACCCCTGCTTTGTAGAGATGAGGCCCAGTAATTCTCCGTAAGTTGGCATTAGGAGGGGGGTGGGGCAGAAGGCACTGCCTTCAAGGGTTTGTCCTTACCTTACAAGCTTCCAGACCATGGCCAAGCCCTTGGGCTTCTTGGGGCCTATTCCCTCATCTGTAAGTTGGTGGAACAATATACTCAACAACAGGCTGATAGAATCATGGGTGATTGTGATGTGACAGTGTTATTTGAATTGAAGGCACCATTATCATCTGGAATGGTGGGTCCTTGAGAACAGGGATTCTGTCTCTACGGTTCACTGCCGGTCCTGAGACACAGCCAGGACGGATGGAGGGAAATGGACGCTGAAGGAGGAGGTGAATATTCAATGTGCTGCCTCTGGGCCTGGTGAGCTGAGCTGGGCCCCATGACTCCTTCAGCTTTAAAAGTCAATAAAATTGATTCATCCATCACCCTTTGACCCCTGCAGCAGGGCTGTCACCCAGAGGATGGTCTCAAACTGGAGTGTGCCCAGATCCGCTGGAGGTGCGTCAGAAACCTGGCTTCCTACCATGCATACTCCAGCCATACTGCTCCAGGGTCCCATTCGGTGGGCCTGGGAGGCCCAGGATCCTGCATTTGAATCCCCTGCAATCTGACTCAGCTGCTCTGTCATCCTCCATGTCCTGGGGGCATCTGAAAGCGTCTGGGACAGGGCACCCAGCAGGATGGGCAGCCCTCCCCAGCAGGTTCAGGCCCAGCCGTCCCCACTTCTCCCAGTGTGGAAACTACTTGGATCCCCCAACTCCACCTGGTAGGCATTCTGATGCCCTGCACCCACAGATTGATGCCAGGGCCAACCCTGGTTGCTATGGGGCTTTCCTGGTGACCAGAATTTGCTTTCTGGTTTGTTTTAATTGTTGCCTTCGTTTTGACAAAACAGCTGACGGGCAGAGTTGTTCAGGAGTAAGGGCTCTGCTTTGGAGACTGCAAGGAGAGGACCCTGAATCTGAGCCTGTTGGATCTTGGTGGCCCCGCAGACTCTGCTGTGACTGCCCTGACCATCTTTGCAAATCAGGCTTTATTAGGGCAGAAACTTGGACTAGTGGGTCCTCAGCAAATTCTGGTTTTAAATAAACCACATTTTGGAAACTTGTAAGCAGTATCTAAACTTCCCACAGAGCCTCGATGGTAAGTAAAATCGTCACTCTTTAAACCTGCTGAGAAGCCACCTCTGCCAAATTCTGAGGCACCCCAGAAAGGCCCTGGAGCCTCTCCCAAGCCTCCTTAGTTCTGCTCCTTTGGCAGGAACCCCTCAAACTCCAGGAACACACAGAGCTGATGATGCTGATTTTAAAATCCTACTTTTTTTGTTTTGTTTTGCTATTCAGAAGCCCTTATTAAGCTAATCAGGGTTCTTAATAGCTTCATTTACAACTGTTTTATCCCAAGACTTACTTAGGGTTCAAGAACAACCAGCTGTGTCCCCACCCCAAATGGCAGCTGCAAAGAACCCCCTCTGCACCCTGTCACAGTAAATCCAGGCTGCTCTCTGTCTGTGCAGGAGATGAGGGGGTGGATGGGAGCTTCATGAAGAATCAGATGGGGAGAGCCTGGCTCCATGCAGAAAGATTTGAGTCCACCAAGGGTTGGAATACAGATTTCATAACCTCTATTCTCCAGGCACCATCTTGGTCCCCCAAAGGGGCTTTCTCCTTAAACTTTTTCCCCTGGTCCCTGGCAATTGCCATTCTACTTTCTGTTTCTATGAATGTGACTACTCTGTGTACCTCATATAAGTGGAATCCTACGGTATTTGCCCTTTAGTGAGACTGGTTTATTCCACTTAACATAACGTCCTCAAGGTTCATCCGTACCATGTGTCAGGATTTTCTTCCTTTAAAAGGCTGAATAATATTTAATTCTGTGGATGTGCCACATTTTGTTTATCCACTCATTCATAATGGACACGGGGGCTACTTTCTCCTTTTGCCAGGGTGAATCGTGATGTTACGAACGTGGGTGTACAGATCTCTCTTTGAGACCCTGCTTTTAATTCTTTTGGGTATGTTATCCAGAAATAGAATTGCTAGAACATATGCTGTTTCTACATTTAATTTTTTGAGGAACTGCCATAACGTTTCCCATAACAGCTGCACCATTTTACATTCCCACTAACAGTGCACAAAAATTTTAATTTCTCCACACCTTCCCCAACACTTATTATTTTCTGTTTGTTTGTTTGTTTACAATTTTTATAGCAGTCATCCTAATGAACTTAAGGTGGTATCTCATTATAGTTTTGATTTGCATTTCTCTAATAATTAGTGATGTGGAGTATTTTTTCATATGCTTTTTGATCTTTTGTATATCTTCTTTGGAGAAATGTTTATTCAAGTCTTTTGTCCATTTTTTAATTAGATTGTTACTTTTTGGTTGTATCCACATTTTCTGTGTTCACATAAGTCATTGATAAAATGTAGGACTGGCAGGACCTGAGGGCAGGCCCCTGTGGCACACTGCTCCAAACATCACTCCTGTGTGCTTGGGGTTCACATGAATCATTCAGCAGCTCAGACACCCTAATGCAGCTCAGGCCCCACTCTAATGTTCCCTCATCAACCCAGCGAGGAAGACTCCAGATTGCCCAGCACTCTGATTCATGCCAACTCTCAGGCTTCCTCTCCTATTGACCGTGTTTGGTTTTCTCTATTCAGGATATAGAGGAAATAAGGAGTTCAACTTCCCCTGTGTCTTTAACCTCAAAGCAAGAGCATGATTCAAATCTGGGAACTTCTGCAAAATGATCTGAGTAACCTTGAGAAAGACAGTTCATCCTTCTAAGCCTCTGTTGCCTTATAAGATGGGGATAACCATCATGATTTCCCCTGCATAGGATGATTGGGAGAATAGGGTGATTTTAGGGAATTGAACAGTGGGTTTCTCACCTGCTACATAGTAAGGCCATCAATCAACAGTAACTCTTGACATTAAATGTTCTTTCTCCAACGCTTCTAAAAGAGACTTTTGCTGTCTTGAGTATTTTCTCATTTATCCTGAAGTCTCTTCTTTGGGACTTTTTCTTTTCCACCATGAATGTTCCAAGTCTGTGACGCCTGACCTGTTGACCCACCTTTCTGCACACCTGTCCAGATCTAAGCCCATTACAGAGTGGTCTGCACAGCTGGAGTGTTGCAGGTGCTTTCTTTTACTTCCTCATGGAGAGTATTTGTGAGTATAGTCACAGTGCCATCTTTAAAAAGCTTCCCAACTCTCCTGTCTGCATCTCATGTCATGGCAGGAAGCCAGTGTTGTCTCTGACTGTTAAAAGAATTCTGTCTTCTGGAAGCCAAGTGCACATGTCCAACTCTGCCCAAAACTTTCCAGTTATAGTAGAACTTGAAGTGAAAAGAGTCACATTCCCACATACCATGGGACTTTCACTCTGTCAGCCCTTTCCTCCTTGTTGGGCAGAACTGGTTCAAGAAAAGACAGGAGTCAGGAGAAGGTGCTGGGAACGTCAGCTGGAGCCAGATGGGAGAGAAACCTACTAGGCCATGAGGAGTAATTGAGAGTTCTAAGCAGAGTGGCGACATGTTTGGAGCAGAGCCTGGGGAAGAGTTCTCTCTCAAGGTTATCAG